CGCCGCGATAGCGAGTCCTGAGATAGGTGGCGTCGTATGTGAGTCCGGACGAGCTGCAGGGTGCTGGTGCTCTTGCTGTGTGCCCCTGACTCGAGCTCCTCGTCACTATCTGAATCCTCGATCACCAGCTCGCCCAGTTCTACAGGCTCAAGAGGAACTATGGCAGTAGGGACCGACGTCCGCGGAGACGAGCACGACCTGTGAGATGTGCCAGCAGACACAGGAATTACCGGGTTCAAGTTGAGCGGCCCTGGCAGGCGAGCGGGAGGCGGCGGCATGGGAAAGACAGCATGGTCCCTGGCGGCAGAGGACCGGTTCTTGGACGAGCGAGGGGCGGTGCAACAACAAAAAACGGCCATGATGTAGCTCTCCAGAGGGCATCACACCTGGCCAGGGTAACACTAGTCGGAGCAAACTCGTTCTTTTCCAAGAAATAGGCGTCAACGTCCCCGGCCTGGACGGTGTCATGAAATGTCAATGCCAATGCCAGTGAAAATGTCGAGGATTCGGGTGGTAATTGCCAAGGAGCACAGGGCAGAAAACAGGGAGTTTCTAGCACCACGCTCGACCTCAAGGCTAGAGCCACAGGGCGAGGAGAAGAAGGAGCGTCTGCCTATCTAGGTTGGCGCGCTTTCATGCATGATCCGCAACTTCCCACCTGCCATCGCCCGCTGTCATGGAAGGCACTTAGCTCGCAAAGGCATATGCCCGGGTGCCACAGCAGGAGCATGGAGCGCATGGAGCGCAAACAATAAGGCAGAACAAGGTGGCATCACTTGGCGGGGTGAGATATGGGAAATAGGTTCAACAGGATTCCGAACAATGTAAATAATTCCAAGCCCATTTCAATGCCAATCAGGGCGAATTTGCCTTTGGGGTGTTATACACGGGCTGGTTCCTTCCTCCGTCGCACACGTTCCCGCTGCCGTCGTACGGAGTCTGCTCATCCCGCGCAGGTGGCCATGCGACTCTGATGGCATCCAAGATCCCGAGCCCACTGGCACCCACAAGCTTCGAGTTTGGCCGTGGGATCGGCAGCGATGTTTCGTTGTGCAGAAAGCCGGGGTATGATACCGAGCTGTTTACCGCGGCCATGTTCTCCGGGTCCTTGTTCTTCTTGTAGCCCCCAATTTCTGCCAGAAACTGAAAGATATTCGCCCCGACGTCATACCTACCCAGATGGGGCAGGTCCCAGTTATACTCGATTGATGATAGCATGCTATAGTGCGTGTAAAAGGAGTTGTCCTGCGTGCCCTTCAGCGCAGGGGGAATAGCGCTCCCCAACAGTAATGTCACAATATGGTTGGGTTCACTGTAGGTCTCGGACTCATCAAAGGTGAGCATGATTAGAGTACGCTCGTCAAAGGCATTTTCTGCCAGGAGGGGCAAGAGGAACTGGTGGGACCAGTCCGTCGCTGTCTTCAGCGTCGTGTTGTGGCCGTCATTCATCATGTTCGGCGACATGAAGACAAACTGGGGCACCCGCCCCGCCTTGAAGGCCAGTTGAAAGTCGTCAAACGACAGCACACTCAGGAGCCGCATGCCGTCATTTGTTATGCTATCGTACGTAACGAATGGGCTAGGAGGAGATTGTTAGCAGAGCCGCACATACGTCTCGGTCGTAGACGAAAAGCTGAGTCCCACTTGTGTTTTCGAACGTAATCCCACGTGTCTTTCCCCGTGGGCCCGTCGCTGTAATTTCCCATAAAGCCAGGACCGGGCAGGTCCTCAAAGTATCCGGCCCATGATATGTCCTTAGACTCCAACAAGTCGGCCACTGTGTAGACATTCTCGGGCAGGCGCACAAACTCGTCGTGATTGAGGCCGAAGTAATCGCCCGCGATGGCGGCCAGATAATTGGGCTGACTCGGGTGTGTGTGTGCGTAGTACTTGTCGAGCAGAATGCCCCGCCTCTTCAGGTCGACAATATTGTCGTCAATCGCAGCCTTGGCGTAGTCCTAGAGGAGGGTCTAATGGTTAGAAGGGCATGTCTCGGCAGGGGGTTGAAGGTGAAGGCAGCGGGGATGTACCTGGTTTTCCAACCATATCGTGATCAACCTGTCGAATCCGCGCCCCGGCACGACTTTGGCAGCGCCGGCGATCTCAAGCCATGTCGCTAGCCCTAGGGCGATCAGATACAGTCGCTTCATTCTGTTATGGCATCTTGCGCCAGCATTGAGCAGGCGAGCTTTCGGGGAGCACAACACGTCGCAGTTCCAGTTGCAGTTTCGCCGGCCTCAACGCCAAGCCTGACTGACTGACTGACCCGGATCCTTGTCATGTTCTTCCTCGCCACCCGCACCTCAGGGTTAGGGTTAAAAATGAGACAAGACTTATCGTGCTGCCCCTATTTAATCTCTCGTCGATAACCAAGCTAACACAGACAGCTACAGGCACTGCAAATTCTCGGCTCCCTTCTACTTACCTACAGATAATCCAGTGATCACTAGATTAGTAACTAAACTAGAAGTTGGGTCGGTGATGATCAGCGAACCCCTGCTAGTGGTGCACGGGGTGTTGCCATGTAGTTGTTACTCCTGTTACATCTTGGCATGCCTATATCTTTTCAATCACTATCATCCACCGTGTCAGATTTTAATAGGAACTAGTAAATCGGCCATAAACTCCCATAGTAGTTTTCTGGCTATCATTACTCAAGGCTCAAGGTTCCCAAAGGGTCACCCGCAACTGCAATCGCTTTTGTTTACCTCCCCCACTATCCCCCTCCGTGTGCCACAATCCCAGCCATCATGACAGACAAACCCCAACAAGCCATGAGTGTCTGGGCCGCCATTACTCCGAAGCCAATTGACACCGCTCCTCTTTTCATTCTGCACAGGTTCCGGTCTCCGTCTTGGCCCCATCGATGCCTGGTCGATACTTTTCGTATGTCCTTGGGATCATGCCGGTCTTACTTTTTGTTCTTCTTTGCCTTCTCTCGTCTTTCGTCATCTTGACAAGTTGGACAAATGTCATCGCGGTCTTCATTATCGCCACTATACTTCTTGGGGCAGTAGTCCCTCTCATTTTGATATTCGTCGCATCGGGCAGTGAGAATGTACATGTACGCCGAGTGTCCGCACTTCTTGTAAGTGACTTTGCTGCTTTTGCACATCGTGGCGTTTCAGACTGCGGTAAGTAGATACTCTCGTTGCTAGAGTCTTGTTTGCGCTATGTTGGTTCGGCTGTGATCAAGTGTTTGCGTTGATAGGGTCAGCTGTGTGTGGATTTCTCTGTCCGTATGCTTGCGGAATAGGGAAGAGCTGTGATTCCCTAGGTCGTGGATCCTGTTTTAAAGTCGCAGAGGATGCTCCCGGGGGTAATGTTTGCGTGGTCAATGGATGTCATGACTTACCCAGACGGTTCCTTGCCACTGCCTTCATTCTAGCAACTGTCAGACCAAGTGACCTGTTGCCTGTCACCAACAATATTTGTGAAACCAAGTTTACCTGGACCTGAGGATTCATGGCCCGTTGTTGGGATGATTCAATATCCTTTGTGTAAGATTATGTCTATTGTTGCGGGTTCTTAATCGAGTCTGAGGTGTCCGCGGTTACACCTGACATACGAATGGTAACACACCATAACCTGTGACACTGGCAGGAAGTCATGGTAGTTTCCTATGGGGTTCCCATGATCTGGGTTCAGAGAAAGAAAACACACAATTTCTTTGTTATTTCTACAATCTCATTGTTGTTTCTCGGTGTGAATGAACAGATACTCACAGAAGTAAGTGATTCATAGTAGTACCCAGAACTATATATGTAGGTCATATTATAAAACCAGTTGCGCTGTCTAGTTTAGCATTTCTATCTAGAAAGCACCCGAAAGCGGTCATAAATTGAGATCTCTCAAGCGTTCCCCCACACCTTACCTTGGAGACGAACAACCAAAGGTGTGAATCACGCTGCTTGAACAACACTAGCAGGACTAGACCAAAGGAAAGTGTTGACTTAGGCTGCAGCATTGTCACTTGGACCAGCCATCATGTGCAATTTGGTCAACATCCGGTTTATCTGCGGCCATGATTCGTCCAAGATTTCAGCTCGATGCGAGCATTTCAATACACTTAGCCAAACTTGCCATAGGATGAAGACGGGTGGTTATGATTACTGCAGTGATAAATGCGCAGATTGCAGAGCGAAGCCCGTGGCTAAATAGGTAGCGGGAATGGTGGTAGCATGAGACATATTAGAGGCCGACATGGAGACCAGGGATGGGAGTTAGGGTGGACGTCCAACTTAAAGAAGCCGTGCGTAGATACATGTTACTGCGAAAGACTTAGGAGGTAATGCCCGGCCCGCTCGGCTCATATCAATCAAATTCTGGGGGATGACAGTACCTTAACTACCCACTTGATTAGTTGAATCAGACCGCAGAACTTCACTTTGTAAAATCCCAACTCCTACCGTCTGCCCCTAACCCTAGTGACGTTCGTGATAGACCACATTATGAACTCCTGAAACATGATTTTTATATCTCTACTCATTTGGTCAGTGAGCTGGCCCCTGTTCATCATCGACCTTTGAAACAGCCGATAAGTTGTACTTTCTGGACTCAATTAAAATCAAATGTTCCCCTGGAAGAGCGGCGAATAGTGAGTAAATTCCAACGAAATGGAATTGGAGATATGCCAAATTTAGAGTTGAATAGTGCGAAACCGAGGGAAGAAACTCGGAGTAGCTGGGGAAATTGTTAGTATCAAGAGGCGGGTAATGGAAGCTGTGACCAGCAATCTATGAGGTACCTTATGAACTTGAAGGCCCCGGGTCCTGTTTTTGTTTGGCGATGGGGTCACCCTTACCACCTAGCTCGGGGTTTGTTTAGGGGGCAGACATGTGTGCCAAGATCGGGGGCATTGTACATAGGTACCTAGCTTTACACGTGATATCATTGTGACCCACTGTTTCCTCTTGCATCACTGTCTGGGTTGGGGTTTTGACTCGGAGCTCATCAAGGCCATGTACCTAGTTTAGGGATGTATTTCCAACATACATTGGGGGATTATAGTATAGTGGTCAGTATATCTCATTGTGGTGGCATCATGTACTCTGAGACGACGCAGGTTCGATTCCTGCTAATCCCAATGAATCTTTCTTTTTGCCCCAACTGAATTGTGTGGGTCGATCTGCGAGTCATCTTCCTACAAAGAGCTCGGGTGTTGAAGTTAAGCAGTCCATCGAGATTGTTTGAGAGAATCAGTAGGTATTTCTTGACCTATGGTTGTCTACCGCAGCAACCCGGAATGCACGGTCCACATCCCACCTCTGACTACCAGAGATGTGTCATCTCGGCCCACTTCGCCCATGGGGATAGTTTCCAAGACCATAATCCACCAAATTGGTAGTAGCGTCAGTGGTTTAGTGGTAAAATCCATCGTTGCCACGCAATGTAAATTCGATGGGCCCCGCGTTCGATTCGCGGCTGACGCATATTTTTACCATCCGCTGATGGTTGCTCTTTTGCTTCTCTTGCCAAAGATATGTTGTCTGTGACATCTAGGACGCTACTGTAATGACATGCCGCGAATGGGATCCGAGTTGCGGTGTGTTTGTTACTGGGCATTGCTCGCTGGTCACATGACCCGAGCTGCGGTTCGCAATTCGCTACAGAAAAGAGAGTTCTGCAATCGAAACAGAGTTGCACAGTGAATCATGACGGTACAAGAGCCGCCAGTCGAGGGCCAGGGAGCTGGCTGCCGAAACTAAATTCGAGTATCTAGCAACCCGGCTAGTTTTGCGCTCCAACAGTGACATTGACGTGGGATCTTTGCACTAGAAATTGCAGTTTCCTGTCTGATGTGTCAATATTCTGTGGGGAGCTGCTACAACGGTCGCCAAAGAAGGGTGTGGGGCTGATGTGAGTGGCTTAAGAGTGGCAGGGGCCAGTGAATTTCACACCCAAGACAACACCAGTCCGAGAGAACCACGACGCGATCGACGCGCTTACCAGACCAGAGACGCCGACACTGGCAACCCACATCATCCCCGCCCGCTGTTAAATTTTAACTCTGATTGCATCTGATTGCCCTGTAAGACGGTAGAGCGGTCAGGACTGGCTTCGAGCGACGACAAGCGATAACAATGCAGCCGCATTACCGTGGACATGCACCACCACATGGGGCGACCCCGAGGGCTGGGGGACAGCATGTCCCACAACGTCGCGGTGGTATTGGTGAGTCGCCATTTCCTAGATCTCTGTTTCCACATTTTGAATTTTGTATTCTGTCTGTCCGTCCCTTCTGCGCCTGCGTCAACGTCATCCCCTGCTTGTCCGTGTGGTGCCTGCGTCAGTCTTGGTGTCCGTGTCTGTGTCCGGTGCGATTGTCTTGTGCCCAGGAGTCCCCGACAGTCTGACTCCGGCGCACGAGGCGCACTCCGCTTTTCAGGAGATTTGTGTGTGGAGCAGCAGCCAACACACCTCGAGGCACGTCGTTGTTGCTTTGCGCAAAGTCCAGACCACAGACAGGCCCATCGCGTGCGAAGCCGAATCGCAGAGGCCGCCCAGAAAACGAGTCCACATTGGAATTCATCCCACAGCCTGTCCCAGTTGCTCAAGACACAAGATATATCACCGAGCTGGCTTCTAACTCTGCAACCCACTCTCCTTCACAGGCCCCATGATGTCAGCGGGACCCCATCACTCAGTGCCAATGACACAGGCGCAAATCAACCAGCAGCAGGAGCAGCAAAAGGCCGCCCTTCACAATGCGAAGCTGCGCAGCGCCAAGCCCACCGACAAGACCCTCCCCGATGGCATTGAGGAGACCATGACAGACGAAGGCGTCTCCGCCGTCGCCTACAAGAAGCTCCGGGACCTCGAGCGCCGTCTTGACGCTACCATGACACGCAAGAGGCTGGACATCGTGGACACGGTCAGCCGCAACGCAAAGGTAGGCTTTCGACACTGTTATTTTTCGCCTCTACGCCACTTGGAACTTTTGATAGACTAATACGCGCAAGCCCCAGCGATACAAGACACTGCGAATTTGGATCACCAACACGGTTGAGGATCAATTCTGGCAGACGAACGGATTGAACGTCGACAGCTTCAACTTCTCGGCAAATCTCGAGTCGTCCTACCAGGTCAAGATCGAGGGCCGCCTGCTCGAAGACGAAGACGACGCTGACAAGGACGACGATGAGGCCAAGCTAGGCAATGAGCTGGAAGGCGGCGATAAGATGGACACCGACAATCCTGCTAAGGCCAAGACGAAGCCCATCTCGGCCAGACCAGGCCAGCGTTACCGGTTCTCGCATTTCTTCAAGGCTCTGACAGTTGACTTCGACCGCCCTAAGTCGGCGCGTTCGGCCAATGATGCGAGTATTGAGTGGAAGAAGCCTGATAGAACGCCAGCCGGGTCTAACTTGCCAGCGATGGCTGACTTTGACGAGCTCACATTCAAGCGGAACGGCGATGAGAACACAAATATTACCATTAACCTGTACCGGCACGAAGACCCCGAGCGGTTCGCACTCGGCCCAGAACTTTCCGATATCATCGATGTTCACGAGGCTACGCGCCAGGAAGCGGTTATGGGCGTGTGGGAGTATATAAAGCTTATGAACCTCCAGGAGGATGAGGAAAAGAGGAACTTTAGATGCGACGAGCTCCTCAAGAAGGTAAGTTTTTTTTTTTTTTTTTTTTTTTTGGGTCTTCCTGTCTACTCAAGCAGTTGGGATGCTAATGCACTCAGGTTGTCGGGCGAGATGCTGGCTCTATCCCCATGATCAATGAATATATCACTGCACACCTTAGAGTGCTCCCACCTGTCAAGCTGGCGTATACGATACGCGTTGACGAGGAGTTCCACAAGGACCCCAAACCCACCATCTACGACATCCGTGTCGCCGTCGACGACCCGCTCCGCGGCAAACTGGCTCCGTTTATCTACAACACTCAGTACGCCCAGATGCTCAAGAAGGTGGCCGATCTGGATAAGGACCTGGGCGTCATGATCCAGGCAGTTGCGACTCACAAGGCCAAGCACACTTTCCTTATGTCCATGTGCGACGACCCTGTCAATTTTGTGCGCAGCTGGCTCAGCTCGCAGAAGCGCGACCTCGAGGTCATTATGGGCGAGGCGACCCGTGGCGGCAACGAGAACACCACGGGCGACGAGTGGCGTAAGGGTGGCCGGGATAGTGTCTGGAACACGCCGAACGCGAGGGAGAGCGTCAATGTGCTGCTCTCGAAGCAACCGGCGCATCGCTGAGCAAGCTAATGGTAGATGACTGTGAGTTCTGTTTCTCGGCGTGGAAGGGCGTTGATGGGGCGGTTAGGGATGGCGTTGATGGGGAAAGACGGGTAGTTTGTTACCTGTAGGTTTCCATGGGCTACGGTTGACTGGGCTACCCGGGTGATTGACTACGCATGAATATGTACAGTACGCTGCGGAATCGATACCAATGACATCGCGTTATTGAATGTGTGAGAGCTTGAAGAGCATTTGTAAGTTGGGCTGTAGTCTACGAAGATGCCGTCAACCCAGCCGTAGTAAAACCAATAATGCAATGCAATTCATTCATCTAACTCGTTCAATCATCCTATGCGTCTTGCTTTTATGCCTATTTCCATACCCATAACCCCAGAAAATAGTGCTATGCAACCATTGACTATTCAGTCCTGCTCTGTCAAATCAACCATCGGGATCTCGCTTCGTCGCCAAATCTTCCTGTTGTTCTGCGCACTAAAGGTAGCCGTTGCTTTCAACGGCCTGAGAGCAACCCGCTCTGTGCCAGCGCTCAGTCCATCCCCGCCTGGGACAAGGCTAGCAGCGCTTTTCATCATGAAGTCGGCCTCTTCGCGGGTCACCTCGACCTCGGTGAAGAAGCCGGCACCGACGCCGCTAGTCCGGGGCATGTACAGCTTGGTGGTTCCCGTTGTGCGGCTGAGCTGTTCGACATCAGGGAGTGACTTCCTGTCCTGCTTGTTATAGTGCTTTTTCTCTTGAAGAGCAGTGCCCTGAGGAGGTGGCGTGGTATTTGACTCCAGCAGCGACTGGAAGGACTTGGAGAGTGGGAGGGATTCCGTAGCCAAGCCGAACAGATCGTCGTCGTCACCACTCCCAGTGTCGAAATAAACCGTGTCGTGGCCGGCCGCTTCGGCTGGGAGCGATGGCGTATGTTTCCTGCTGGGCAAATCGGTCTTTCCCTTTTCAACCGACTGCTTTGCCACATCGCCGTCGTCACCGCCCTCATCCCCAGAAGACAGCTCGATCAGTTCCCTCGTCGCATCTACCGACTTGACTTCTAACTTCTCGCCCCCGGCCCCCTTCACAAGATGCCCATAGTCCTTAATAGACCGCTGCGTCCCGCCCGTACTCGTCCCAACATCATCCTCCATCCCACTCTTAGTCCGCTTGAACGTCCGTGCCTGCCGCCTCGGCACCGGCGAAGTAGCCTCTCCTTGCCGGCCGGCATCCACCACATCGCCAGAAACCAGCGAGTGGAGCGGTTCCGGTGAAAACAGGTCCTCAACCGGCGGACTCGACACCCTCTTCACCCTCCCCTTTGGCGTTGTTATCCCCTCTCCAGTCATAGCCTGGCGAAGGGGCGAAATCGGCGCAGGGACGGGGGGACTAGACGAGATACAGATTGGCTGCTGGGCAGAGCTCGTTGCAAGTTGCTTCTTCGGTGTAGCGGAAAAAGCAGCGGCAGCCGTCTTGGTAACCCTGGGAGGACTGACTTGTGAGCCAGCAATGGTCCACGGGTTGACCTGGGCTGCTGGCCTGTCTTTGGCCGGGAGGGCTTTGGAAGAGATCTTTTTGGTGGGTTGCTTACTTCTTCCGCCCGTCACCGCGGCGGGTTTGGGCGCTGCGGCTGCGTTGGCACGAGTGAGGGGCGGTAGGGCGGCGGGTGGACTGGATGGAAAGACGGGGAACGAAGGGCGCGGAGGGGATGAGAGGAACGGCTGGGCAGAGGGGGCTTTCGCGGGGGCCTTTACTGCTAGCTTTGCTGCTGGTGCTGTGATGTTCTTGGTAACTTTCACGAATTTGTCCAGTGCGCCGACGGGCATGTCTGTCTTTTTGGCGCGCGGTTTCCTGGTCGTTTTGGTGGCTAGCCGCAACTCTTTGGCTCGTTGCATTTCTTCCCAGTCGCCCACAACCAGGGGCACGCCCGATTTGATAAGGAACTCTGGGATCCATACCAAATCTGGCTGTGAAGGGTCAAACTTCTTTTTGGCGCCGCTGGTTTTGGATGGCTCGTCGTCTAATTCCTCTGCGACTTCTTCATCAAACTCGTCGTCGCTATTGAGCGCAAGGCCATTGCGACCGTATACCTCAACCTGCTCTGTAAACTCGGCGCTCAGATCTAGTCCCACAATGTCTGCTGGGACATATGAAACCCGCAACTCGGGCGTAGAATCTGTACTGAAGTGCGCCCTCCGACTTGAAATAGCTTTAATAAGAACTGACTCATTTTCGAGTCGA